TCGTATCATTCATAGCATTGCCTGGTATAATGCTAGGATTTTCGGGAACGCCTCTCTCCAAGAATATTAGCGCATCTATTAGTTTGTAGTTCAATTGATAACTTCGGCCTATTATAGCAGTTCAAGTAGAAAACTAAAAGCAACCAAAGACAACTGTATTTTTCTCGCTTTAGCGCTCAACAACTGTCCAATGGCACCGATTCACTCCATTATTGAACGAGCTACAAATGCCACACCTGATCCCGCAACTCAAATGCAGGCAATTGTTTTCTTGATAATTTCTACTGCAATTCTCTATATTTGCTTCGTGGAAGAGAATGGAGTTATCAGAACTGCTCTGTCTACCAGCAAAGCTTCTTTCCTAAGTTTTCCCTGGATTTTTTTGCGTTCTCCAGACCTCTCAAACAAGGCGTGTCTCCCAAGAGGCGGAGTTCGCGATTAGCCTGCGAAAAGCTTGGAGGTACCGGATAGAAGAATATAGATGTATCTGTGACTCCCCCTTGGAGAAAGAGCAGCAAAGCAAAACGTCGGTCTCGGATAAGAGGCTAGAAAAGGTTGAGAGCATCCAAGTGAACAACAAGTAGGACATACATATTAACAAAATATGGTCACTGATTGGTCACTGGATGTGGTCACTGATTTTTTTGGCAGAGTCACCTGAATAACCATAAGCCTTAACGCCCCTACTTTGGAGCTTTCGAGCGCTAAAATTCTGCAAGATCTTTCTCTGCTTCCACATTAGCAGTTGGCACGATAAATCCCCAAGACGAGTAGGATTAATACGCCTGGCAGGACGGAATTCCGCGACCCTGAGCAGGCGCTGCATAATGCCTTTTCCAAGGGAAGTGCCCTTATAAGGGCCCTATCAAGATCGGAGACTCTCTCTTCGCAGGATTTTGACCGTTTCACTCCGTTCTTTCGCCATTTCCCCACTATATAGCGCCCTACTAGCATTTTAGGCCGAGCAACAAATCATCGTGTCAACTGCCTTTAACGTTCGGAGTGTTCAGACACTTATAAAAAAGAGCGGCCATGCCTTGCCGTACAATTTTTTGTAAGTCTTGCAAAGCTACTTTCCCCTCAATCTCGTATAACGAGCAGGTCGTCATTACGACTATAGAACCGAACATTCTTTGAAATGTTCTGCTAGTTCTATGACCGTTGAGTTGAACGTAATCCCATTCGTTTCATTTTCAGATTATTCGTCGTATAGTTGAGGATATTTTCGGAGGATCATGGGGTGTACTCATCATACGCAATCCTTCCCTAGTGTCTAATGGTACGCTGTTCATTTATTTTGCATGATTTTTTTGGGGAACAAAAAAAACTTTTTTCAAAAAGATATCCATAAAGCATTTTCACTTGCGAACCACAAAAGGGCAACAATTCGCTTTCATGGAAGCGCGGAAGCTAGAGTGCACACCATTTCTAGCCTTTCTTGCACCATGCGCCCCATGCACTTGCCGAATTCAGGTATAGGCCGCGATTAAAGGGTAAATGTGCCATGAGGTTTTATTGGCCGGCGCCTACTATGCTTCTCTGGGGACAGGAGGAGATAGTAGGTAGAAGGGGGTAAGTCAAGGCTGTAGGGTGGGTGCGGTGAAAGTACCCAGACAGCTTCAAGATGCCAGGGTGTGTCATCTTTGAAACGTGCGACCTTGCTTTGTCGTGAAGAAGGTATGAGTTCTCGAGTTGCGGAGCTAGGTGTAAGAGTTTTTCCAACCTTCGCAGCTGATTACAAGGAAGCTCACTCGTCACCAGCAGCAGCACCAGCAATAGGGAGAAAGAAGTCCCCAGTGGCACACTACGTGAACGTTCCTCCTCACGCAGAGCATGACCTTCTTCCCGGAATGGTCGTATATCACGACCGGTTCTGCCCTTTGTAATGGATCTAGCCACTGGTACGTCCGCGTATTGTTCTTGTAGAGACATCACATGTCATCTCTGGTAACAACGTTGTTCAACCATTCCGCACGGTGGGGCGGGAGAGAAAATGCGGGCGTACACCTTTGATGATCGGTCAGCTCATGAGGAATGAATTGAACAAGCTTTAATGCTTTTCCGTGGGAATGGAGACTTCTATCAAACCTATTCCTGGAGCACCAAGGGCCTCAGCTAAAGAGCGAATTGACTCAGACATTCTACCAGCCTCTTATTTGCAGCGGTAGATCCATCGAGCTAGACAGGTAATGAGTTCCGAAAATAATTGGAAAGAAATTGATCCGCCTGAAGAAGGACGGAAAAAAGATCACTGTAAATGGTTACGGTCAGAAGACGGTGTATGGAAACTTCTAGAATTTTTGGAGCAAGAAGTCTTTGATAGCGATAGTCACCACTTAAGAAGCAAGTGCATGTAAACTCACGTATTTATTTATTTAACTAAAAAAAATTGAATTTGAAGAAATTTGACTTGAATTTGAAAAAAATTGAATTTGAAAATTTGAACCCAAGCTTTTGTTTGTATACTCGAAATCCCTGAGATCGGGTAGGCGTGGCCGCATGTTTCAACTTAACCTGAAGGTGTCTATGCTTCTGGTGAGATATTTTCATCTTGACACAATTGCTGTCGTGTCTCTGTCCAACACAGAACAAGATGACAGTTGTCCCAGACTGGAATATTCCACGAGTAACCAGTTCCGTGCCATGTTCAAATGCCACGCCTACTCTGGCTCAGGGATAAGGAGTGTATCTATAAAAATGTGTTTTTACACCTGTTATTTCTGCAGTTGAATATTATTTGTCTGATTGATTTTCGACAACAACTGACATGGCGCATTTGGCTGATGGAGGGCCTTTACCTTAATTCATCATATTACTGGCCCCATGCCTCTTGTAAGAGACCCGTGAATTTCTGAGACCATACATGTAGTAGGCTGGTATGTATACAGGTCTCATAAGGCGAGACGTGAACGCGAAGCTGGCTCCAGTCGGGATCTCGCGCCGTCCAAGACCGCAAGCCGCACAGGGGCGATTTTGTTTTCCAGGTCCAAGTCAATTGGAGCGAGAACGATCAAACCATTTCTACTATGAGGAATAGCATCAGGACCTAGCGCACAGCAGATGTTCCATGTGGCTTGGGTTGTACTGTGGTTATACTGTGGACGAATATCCCTTTTTTATCCTTCAATTTTTTTTCTCGAAAACAGTAGCTACAGCGGTCGCTGAAGCCGGTGTTGTGTGCTTATATAATGCGCTTTAAATAGGTCGAAAAACGGATTTCTACAGCACTACAGCGAAAATAGCGAGAGATTCAGAAAATGTCACGAAACTTTGAGACAACCTGATATCACTACTGCCGTTCCAGATGTGCACTGGACTATCCCAGACCACAACAACAGCGACGGATCACCAGCGTTTTGTCTTGTGGTAGTAAAAGGGTAAACTTTCGTTTTGCAGCCATTGGAAACGGAAGAAGCGTTTATACATTACATTTTAGGTGGCAATACAATGTTTTCAAGACCGGTAACAATGATGATCAAAATCGAGTGACTGTGGAAAGCATTGTCAAAAGGTACCTAGTTTGAATTTTTGTCTTTACACCATTCGAATCAGAAAATGGAGGACATTTGAGTGTATGATTACAATGTCTTTCTCCACCTGATTCAAACTCTCAATGTGGTCAAAACAATATCCCCTTGTGTAACTGTTTAACAAAACCGTTTGAAAACTCATTTCATACTACGCGGCAGAATGAGGACTTTGAGAAGTGGGCAGTATGCTTGTAGAAATACAATACGAATGGTCGTCGTGCCGTCGCCTAAACTTACGGGGCTCGGGAAAGACTCGCCACTGCACAGGTCTAGTCACTTCCAACAAGATTCCGCCGACTCGAGAAAAATATGTATTTTCGGCGAGGCTCAGACCACCTATGTAGTTACGATATTTTTGAGAAATATCGCTGTTGCGTGATTGGTGGATGAACGATCCGCTGTTATTATGCTTGGTCCAACTTGCTTGGTACGTGTTTTCCCGTTACTTGAAAGGAGACTGCTGTTGAGGGGGACTGCAGGTACAGTATGGATGGCATTTGCAAGGTCAGAGAGAGGCGCGCGAGGAAAGAAGCTGATATGTTGCGCAATCCAACAAGGAATTTCGGCGCAAGGGATCAAAATGCTGTTCTAGCGCAAAATGGGGCAGGAATTCGGGTGTGAAAGACTCCCTCATGGGAAATCTCGCTACCACACGCTC